CAGTTCTGGTGTGTGTGTGTGTGTGTACGATACATATATATATATATATCAAACAGTGAAGTTACTGGATCACAGGGTAGGCCTGTGTTTAGCTTTAGTAGATACTGCTAAGCAGTGTGTGAAAGTACCAGGTGCTCCACATTCTCATTAACACTTGGTAGTGTTAGTCCTTGCACGTATGGCCAATCTGATAAGAGTATAGTGGCATCTCATTGTGGTTTTAATTTGTATTTCTCTGATAACCAGTGCTTTTCAACACTTTTTAATATGCTTATTGACTTTTAAGATAACCCTCTTTTGTTAAGTGCCTGTTAAAGACTTTTGCCCGTTTTTACTGGGTTGACGTTTTTTATTTGTGGGAATTCTTTACATATTCTGAGGATGAGCTTTTTGTTGGATAAATATATTTAACTATCTTCTCCTAGTCTGTGATTTGTCTTTTGTAATCTCTAATGAGTGAACAGGAATTCTTAGTTTTAATTAAGTTTTCATATCAGGTCTCCAGCTTTATCGTTCTTCAAATTTGATTTGGCCATTGTAATATTTTTCTTTTCCATATAGATTTTAGAATCAACTTTTCAATACACACACACATACACACACACACACACACACACACACACACACCCCCACCCCCCTGGGGATTTTGCTTTGGATTGCATTTAAGTTATAGTTCAGTTTAACAGAAATTAACATTGTAGCAATATTGAATTCCAACCCACAAGAATTGTATATCTCTGTATTGAGATTAGTGATTCTCAGGCAGGGTCGGTTTGCTCCCAGAGGACATTTGGCAATGTCTGGAGACATTTTTGTTGTCACATCTGTGGTGGGAGAGTAGCTGTGTGCTACTGGCAACTTGTAGATAGAGGATAGGGATGCTGCCCAACATCCTACAAATCCTAGGACAGCCTCCACAAGAAAAAATTATCTGACCCAAAATGTTAAGAAACCCTGAGTTAGGTCTTTATTTATTTATTTTTTTTTGGTAATGTTTTGAGTTTTCAGTGTGACAATATTGCACATCTTTATTAGATTTATCCTTAGATACTTAGTGATTTGGTGCTATTGTGATTTTTCGTTTCATATTCTAATTGTTACTAGTTTGTATATATGTGTTTGTGTGTGTGTGTGTGTGTATTGTTTGATGTGTCTGTGTCTTTAAGTGTCTGTTGTATTTTGTACCTTTTATTTTGGAGATTCCCTTTCAGTCCCCCCCCATACACTTTTTTATTGTCATTGAAGAAACTAGGATTTTTGTCCTGTAAAGTTTTCCACAGCTAGGATATTGTTGATCATATCAGTGTGGTGGTGGTTAATATGTTCCCTTGTCTCTATGGTCATTGCCCATATCCATTACTTCATTAGGAGCTGCAAAATGAAACACTGATTCTATCTTTTGCTTTTCATTTATTATCCCAGGATATTTTTGTAAAAAGACTGCCCTCCCACCCAGCTAATTCATTACTGAGTCCCTAGAGAAAGGGTAAATGCTTATTCCTTCTCTTTTTTTTTAAATCCTTTTCCAAAATAATGAATTCGTTCCTTAGGATATTCCATAGGCAACCAGAGAGGATTTGTTTTGTTTTTAAATTAAAAGTACCATTATGAACTTACAGTTTAACCATATGTGATGTTTCAGTCCATTGCTTCATTAGGGATTAAATTGTTCCATATTTGCATAGTGGGAACCTCTTCAAGACACTAATATAACTTTTAAGTTTCCTTGCTTTTTACTATAACGAGATATTCCAGGCTCTTCTTGAACATTTCTTATCCCTGACCTGGAATCAGTCATTTCTTCAAGGAGCCACGGTCCCTTTTACCTAATGTATTTAGAGAAGGTGTTAGGCATTCTCAGGGCTACTGGCAGTGTTATTTCTAGGCTTTTTCAGTAGACAGAAAATATGTATTTTTTAAAGATAAGTTCCTATTCTAGGCTATAAGATTTTTAATAAACTTCATTCTTTTTCCTATTCACACAGTCCTGAGTGCCAACAAACACCATCATACCTACATGTTGCTTTATCACAAATTACATCCCCGGCAGCCTTAGAATGACAATACCAAGTTGACTGGTGAGAATATGATTATGGAAAACAAATTCTTTTTGCCATCTTCTGGGGTCTGTTTTTAAGGGTATTTCATAATAATGCACTGTTAGATTATTGTGTTCTAACATCACTTGGAATAATTCTGTGTGGTTATTTTACCAACTGGATTTGCATTAATTTTACTTTTTAGGGGTTGCATTATTAAAATTTGGTATTATGATGTGCAATATTTACATGGTTCCAATGTCTAATCCACAGAGAAGCTTTGTTTCTACCTTGTTTCTTCTTCCCTATTCCTTCTCTCACCTTGTAGGTATCCATTTTTTTAAATTACAGGTTATTCCACCATTTTTTTCAATATTAGCAAATATGTATATATTTTTATACTTATATCCTCTCTTCTTTTAAATAAGGGAGGTTTTTGCCAGATGGTCTATTTCACTTGTCCTCACCTCTGTTCTTATAGATCTTCTGGTATTGTGTGTTTTGGTTCTAACGCTTACTTTTATACTCAGTCTTTATATAATACCCTCAACTCCCCTCCAGTTTGGGTCATTGTTTATTGGTTCCCAATATGAGCATATTGAGGTGAGCTAGGAGCCTCTTCCTTCGCTTCAGTTTCAAAGTAATGAGACTTGTACTCTTTGGGAACATTTCCAAATCCCCTGAATGAGTAAGTTTTATGTAGAAACACATCTATGGGCCAAAATGATCAAGGTAAGGTAAGTTAACGTAGGCTTAAAAAGTCAAGTGAGCCTTGTTAAGTTCTTAAAACAACAGGTCTTGTGCAGGATATGAGAGGGTGCGTATTTATTGATCAGTTTATTGTGTTGGGTACACTGTCAGATGTACCAGATGCTGTGGGGTTTGCGGAGACAGTACCTCAGGGAGGTAGGAGTGTTCCCACTGGGCTGGTTTTTCGCCCATGATGGTATGTGAAGTACTGAGGGCCAGGCTAGGATACCATGAATAATTAATAGTTGGCTCCCAGACACCCAATTTTAGTCCAAAACAAGAAGCACATGTAGCAACACCAGGCCCTAGTTTCAACTCCTTTCATTTTTCAGACGGCAAAGTGGCTAACATGTAAGCAAGGAAAGGGGAAGGCCATACTCATCAGTGCTTGATTGAAATGTGTTTGTTCCTAAAAGGCAGGGCTCTGCCTTTCATTCCTTCACTGATGCATATTTGTTGAAAGCCTGTTGTATATAAGGCATGATAAGGGATAAGAAGCAGAAAATAACATTCTAGAAGGGACACTGATAGGCAAACCAAATTAGGTTGGGAGCCTATAATGGTATGTCCATGCAGAGCCATGGGCTGGGAAAATTGCCATCTGCTCTGCTGCATTGTGGGGGGAAAGCTTACTTGGCAGTGGGCTCGAGATGTGCTGCTTGAGCTTGGTTTATGGATGTGAATGCTGGTAGGGGATACGTCACTAATGAGTTGACCTTCCTACATTTTTTCTTGTTGGTTTAGTATCCTATTAGGTGGGGGTAAACAAATTATTATTCATTGTAGAATTTAAGTACTAAATAGATGGGGAAAAATGTAGCAGAAAGTTAATATTCCAACTAAATCAGTTTCCTTACTGCCCCTCCGCTTCCTCCCACCTTCCTCCTTCGCTCCCTCCACTCACTCCCTTGCCCAACCCCTTGCCTCCAAGAGGAAAATGGATGTATGTACTGTTTGACTCAGTAATGCAATCTCTAGCAATTTATCCCAAGAATATATTTGGACAGCCTGAGAAAATACATGTACAAAGATATTCATCTGTTACATGCATTGGATATATGCATGTATGTACATATATACATACAAATGTGCATGTTCCTTGCCCCTCCCACCCCCAAACACACATTGACTTTGGACACAAACTAAATTTCCTATAGGGGATTGACTAAATGCATTGTTCTCTCCTTTTTTAGAATGACCATATGTTATCTTACATAATTAAAAAATCAGTAAAGTTATTTTTCTTTAAGAAGGCATTTACCACTTGTTTTCTCTTTTAGTGAAATTTACAGAAATTTAGAATTTGTGCTGGTTGTGAATTTGAAGTAGAAAGTTTATATTCCTGTATTCCTTGAATTGGTATTAGTTTGGTTTCTGTTTGGCTTACATATGTAATTTCACAATGACTGTATTACAGTGGTGGAGTGTCTGACACTAAGGAGGTTTTTGGGGGGGAGGTGGGCAGCAAAGCAGGGTTTATTGAGCAATAGCAAAGTGATAGTACAAAGCTCCTGAGGAGGGAGGGGACCCAAGAGTGTTGCCCTAGGGAGGCATTCTTAAAGTTCTTTAGATGGAATTAGTGAACTTTCAAGGTTGGCTCCATGGTAAAACCCTTTGATCTATATTAAAAATGATATTTTATGTGTGCAAAGTTTTGAACATGTTTTGCATTTTTAAGATGAATATTAATCATCTTCCTTTGGCCACATGTGTGCAGATGTCAGGTTGGTTTACTAAAGCAGTCTCTGTTATCATTTGATTTTCTTGTGTGCCTTGCTTTGAAGAATCAGCCAGGTTCTATTTTGGCAGACAGACCTGTGAACCTCCTTGCCTCCAACATTTTTCTTAGGATAATTTCTTTTTTCTTTCTCTTTCTCTCTCTTTTTTTTTTTTTTTTTTTTGTTGAGAGAAGCCAAGAGAGAGGAGGGAAGGGGCAGAGAGAGAGGGAGAGAGAATCTCAAGCAGGCTCCACTCCCGGCATGGAGCCTGATACAGAGGTCAGTCTCACAACCCTGAGTTCGTGACCTGAGCTGAAATCAAGAGTCGGACACTCAACCGACTAAGCCACCCGGGTGCCCCTTTCTTAGGGTAATTTAATCAGCTTTAAGACTTTACTGTCTGTCCAATTATTAGAAATATATAGTGATCCTGATATATCAAATGTTCATAAAAGTATACATTAAAAATTATTTTATTTTGTTTCCTTAACAGAAATCATAGCCCATTAATGAGTTTTGGAGCCAGCTTCGTCAGTTTTTTGGTAAGTTAGTATGGGGAGAGGTATTGGTGTGAAGGAAACAAGTATAGAAAGTATGTCTTAGAGTTACTAGCTGTATAGATACAGATCTTTTTTTTTTTAAGATTTATTTATTTCAGAGAGAGGGTGCACAGGGTGGGGGGTGCGGGGCAGAGGGAGAAGGAGAGAGAGAATATCAAGTAGACTCCCCGCTGAACACAGAGCCCGATGTGGGGCTCGATCTCATGACCCTGAGATCATGACCTGAGCCTAAATCAAGAGTTGGAGACTTAACCAGCTGAGCCACCCAGGTGCCCCTATAGATATAGATCTTTTAGCATTTAAAAGTGTAATACAGTTTTGCCTATTAGCCAACACCTATGAGATATCCTCTTTCCCTTAATTTAAAAAATAAAATGCTAATACCTTCCAGAGAATTCTGTTTTTCCCAATCAAAAAAATTTTTTAAATAAAAATAAAATTGCAAAGGCCTTTCCAAAAAAACTGAGATAAGGCCAGACTTTGGATACTACTAAAGGTTTTGCTCTAAAATTATTGAATAAATGTGGACTGGGAATAAAGTTTAAATTAGCAGAGTTAAAATTTATTAGTTACTATTACATTTTTAAATATTAGTATTTAGGAATTGAAGGAATAGGTTGCAGTTATGTGTTTAAAGAAAATTTGGCAATGTAAAAAATCAGATGCTTTTTTTCTAGAAATATGTATAACATCACACAAACCACTTTAAAACACATAATTAAAAACTATCATAGAATGGTATAATAGCAAATTGTGTGTGTGTGTGTGTACATATTTATAATCAGTATGTGTAGAGACCGAGTGAAGTAAAATAGAGAAAGCATTTAAATGATTTCAGATCTAGGAAGATCTCTGCAAACTGGTGTGTCCTGTGCCGGCCGGCTGTCCGTGCCCAACCTCAGTACCCGGCCAGCTTCCGGTGGCATGGATTTTCATTCAGGCTACTTATTTACTCCTCTCGCCAGGGAATACAACACAAATTTTTAGCCTTGCCGTTTACAAGAAAACACAGCATCCGACTTTAAGGAAAACGGTACTCTGTGGGAATCACAACATGAGTACCTGCTTCACTTACAAAGGCAGGGAGGGAGACCCAGCCAAAGCTTGGCTGGTGGAGGAGGAAGGTGGGGAGGGAGGCTGTGGCAGGTCTGGGGTCTGCTTGGAAAGCAAGTGTGGCGGGGGGCTTGGGCAAAGGTGGCAGTGGTCTGGCTTGGCTACAAGGGGAGAGTATGTTGGAGTCCTACCAAGGAGGCCTAGAATGCCAAGGGGAGGGCCTGCTGAATGGATAGGGCATGGTAGAGAGCTTGCTACAAAGAGCTCATTAGGTCCTTCCAAGAACCAGGTGTCCTGTCTCTGCCCCCACAGCCCATTCATAACCTCAGAAAACTCCGTGCCGCTGGTCAAAGTAGCAGGTTTTCAGCAGAGAAGGATTGCCCCTACCCAGTCAGATGTAGCCCGGAAAACTCCACCAGGCTGCCAGTGGAATTTTTCACTGTGGACAGTGTAATATGAGTTCCAAGGGAACCCCTTGGAATTGCTGTCCCTGAAAAGACTAATGCTTTTCAAGGTGAACCTACTAGCGATTCTGTGCAGTACTTGACGGGGCCAGGGAGAATGAACTTTTCAGTGAGACACTGCTATAAAAACTGAATGAAGTGGACCAATCAGAAATTATACAGGGCTTTGGTTACTGTGTTCCATAACAACTAAAAAGGTCCTAGAACAGTAACTGTGAGAACGTTTACTACCCTGTATTTTTTCACGTAGGTGTGATAGAGGTATATTCTTATTTCATATTGAGATTATAGTTCTTGGAAATGATTAGGGTATGCTGTAACATTCTTGTACTTGCAACAAATAAAATTTGAGTGTTTTTTTTTTTTTTCCTAGTTGGGGTTTTGTTGTATTAAATCACCTAAATTTTCAGACACGGATTCATTCCTTCTTTCCTTATTTCTTTCTTGGAAGAACGCCATGATGACATTTGAGGAAGAAAAAATGCAGTTGGCGTGTGATGACTTAAAGACGACAGAGAAACTGTGTGAAAGCGAAGAGGCTGGAGTAATTGAAACCATCAAGAATAAAATTAAGAAAAATGTAAGCACTATGTCTTTAGGTTGTGAACGGAGTGCCACTGACGTAGGGCATTGCTCCTTTACTTGGTTTTCAATATTTCAGATATGACTGAAAGCACTACATGTTTCTTACAGCTTTTGATTAAGTAAAATGTATTTCTTTAAAAACAGTGGAACCCCACCCCCACCTGCTTGTCTCTCATTAAAACCATTCAGTACATTTATTCTTTTGCTGTCTTAAGATTATCTTCTTCCATAATGGGCCACGTGCTAAGAGCTTTTGTAATGAGGCTTTCATGTATCTGTAATTCAGATATGTTGCATTTTGGCATTATTGAGGAATTCAGCTATTTACCTAATTTTTCCTTACCAGCCTTTGGTTACGCATAAAGTCACAATAACATTGTAATTCACTTTTCCTGATTTTGCTTTCATCTTCCAGTGCGAAAGTCCAGTCTTTGGGGAGGCCTCCTCCTACCCCTGATGTTTCTGGAGTGCCCAGAGGTCTCCCTTGTTACCTGTCGAGCTGACAAACCCGTCTTTGGGTTGTAGTCCTCAAAAGCTGCCCATCTTTTCTTCAGCTCGTTCGTGTCCAGGTTCCTGCACCTCTGCTCTCGCTGATGGTGTCCACCGTGAGGAAGTCACTGATGGGCCAAAAGTACAGTCTCCTGATGCTCCAGAAGGGCCAGAGCTTTCCTTGCTGGCTCCTGCAAACCCTCCATCTGATCAGTGACTGAGTCCTGTTGCCTCTCTTTCTAAAGTACCTCCTGAACTCATCCACTTCTCTCCCCACTCCTGCCATGTCCTTAGGTCAGCCGCCACCATCCCCATTTGCCTGCAACAACTCTCACTGTTCTTGAATTCATTCTCCATAATACAGTCTCTAAAATGCAAATAATAGGTTGCTGGCTTCATTTTCGGTGTCCCTACCCCCACCCTTGCCATTACATTACACCTTGTCAAACTCCTTACTGTGGCTGACTTGGCACTTCCTTTTCCTCTGCCTAGAACATTCTCTTCCCTCTGGACCTGGTTCCTACACTTTCTTGAGTTCTTCCTAGATCATTTACTCCAAGGACTCTTGCCTGAGCCCCAAAGCTGTGTTGAGTAGGTTTCCTCCTTGTCCCCATAGTACCCTGTACTCGACCCTTCAGAGCACTTACTACATTACATGGTAATGAAGTCAGTGTTCCCTCATTAGACTATAAGTTATTTATTTGTTTGTCTTCTGTATCTAATTCCATGCCTAACCACCTGTGTTAGGAATTAACACTGGTAATGGGTCTTTGCAATTTAAAAAGCATTTTCACATACAGTACCTCATTAGCCCTTCCAACAACCCGACACAGTAGATGTTATTACAAAGAACCAGGAGCATCAATAGACTGACATTTGCCGAAGCAAAGTAATGAGTTCTGGGACTACATTTGCAACAGTAGTGACCATAATAGATTATGCTAATGTAGAAAAAAGGAAAACAGTTCATTCTTTTGTGTCTACTATATATGCTGTTGTCATATTTGCAAAGATCCTTTTTTTTTTTTTTTTAAAGATTTTATTTATTTGACAGAGAGAGACACAGCAAGAGAGGGAACACAAGCAGGGGGAGTGGGAGAGGGAGAAGCAGGCTTCCCGCCGAGCAGGGAGACCGATGCGGGGCTTGATCCCAGGACCCTGGGATCATGACCTGAGCCCAAGGCAGACGCTTAACGACTGAGCCACCCAGGCGCCCCATAGATCCTATCATTTCTTACATCACTGTGAAAGCCTATGAAAACTATTTAGCTTATCTTGTTCAAGTTCACTTTGTATTAAGAATGCAGTATTCTATTTTGGGGTAAATTTTTTTCACTTACAAACATTCTTTACAATAAGGACCAACATTTTATAAAAAGTGGGTTTTTTAATTTTATGTTTTGCTTCTTTTATAGAGGTAGTCACCTTAGAGGTATAGCTTAAATTCTGAGTTCAGTTTGTGGTTCATTCAAACCTATTTTATCCTTAAGTAAAATGTAATCAGTTTTCGACCCTCACATCTCTGTTGTGGGCACAGAAGTTACGAACCCCAGTGTTCATCCTATATGAATGAAGGTAGATGGCTGCAAAGTGGCTTTTTGGTTTATCTATTTTGGGCAATGTTTTCTACCATTAGTGGTTTTTATTTTGGATAAGTAACAACTTAAACTGTTTCAAAAAAGGTAAACCTCTAAATTTTTCTGTTGACTTTCATGGTTTCCCATGAGCTTCATTGTTCTCACTTATTTGTCTTTGAGTTACAATGTTCTTCATCGTATGGTTAACAAAACAGAGCCAGATCTCATGGGAATATGGTATAAATTTGGTCTTGGCTTTCAGTGCCCTGTTTCACAGTTCCTACGTGAAATTATTTTGCACAGTAAAGTAATGGTGGTTTGGACGGAGTCTTGTTCTTGTGTGTGATTGATCAGTGTGTACTTTCCTTCCACCAAACAGGTTGATGTCCGAAAATCTGCCCCCTCTATGGTTGATCGGCTTCAGAGGCAGATAATCATAGCTGACTGTCAAGTTTATCTGGCTGTGCTCTCGTTTGTGAAACAAGAATTGTCAGGTATGCCAAAGCATTACTTTTAGTGGCTTTCAAAATTCAGTGGGCACAATAAGTAATGCCCCCCCTTTTTTTTTTACAGTGCCTTGTATTTCAGTCTTTGAAAATATGTGGTACCTCTTTGGGGCATGATACTGAGTTTTACTTAGGAAATTGGAACCACAAGTGCCTAATGTGTGTTTAGGAGAGTAGTTTTAGACTTGAAGTCAGTGTTTCACAGATAATTCTTTCATAGTTAGAGAAATTACCAGTGCCAGATAGATAGATCATACTTTTCCTTTGTGAGAAACAAGTTGTGAATAACCTTTAAAGTGAAATATAACTGGTTTAAGTTAAATTTTTCAGGAAATTGTTATTGAGGGCCTGAATGGGTACCAAATATTTCCTAAAATACTTGAATGACCTACATTTGAACAACCTTGAGTAAGGGCTATAAACTAATTTCTTAGTTTGCCCAAGACTGTTGTTTTCCAGGATTCTGCAGCTTTGATACCTTGCGAGCTATAGACTCAAATCGAGTCTTTAACAGCTTCTGGAAGACTGTGTCTAACACAGACACCAGTTCTTTAGCTTATGTGGGTATCGGTCTGATACTGCCAGGAGAAATTTGCTGCTTTGGCAGATAGGATTTACTTGGAAAAAATGAAAATTCCGAAAGAAGATCAACTAAAACTCACAACCACAAAAGCATTTCCTTCCAAACTTTAAATGAAGCAGGGTCTGTTGCTGCTGAGTTGTAACGTACACTACGCTTTCTAGCCTGCCAGTCACTGGTTTTTCTCTCCCTTCTCTTTCTACTGTCTCTTCCTCCCTCCAGCTCATCCTTGAGGATGCTTTGTTTCTATTTGGCTCAAGTCAGACATGCAACTTAACTTTTATTTTGACTTCCAAGATTTGGACTTACTAGAATTTATCCTTCTTTTAAAATATGTTGACCTTTTGCTTTGGGTCCACTGTTCTATGTTTTTCTCTCTAATCCTCCTCTTGGGACTTGCCTAATACTTACATGGTTGAGGGCTTATAGCTGGTGTGAAATATCTGTGAAATTTCCCACTTGAAGCTCTTCATTCATGTATATATTAAAAGCAGCAGAGCTATTAGACTTCTTGGGTCAAGATAGGAGCTCTGGCATTTTCTGTGTTTCTTGTATTCCTTTTTTTCTGACACTCAAGAAGGACTTTAGAGGAGCTAATTTTAGCTATTAGGAGAAAATCTCTTGTCTAGAGAGAAGGATAAGTCCAATGTAGTTTAAAGTTTGGGGAATCAGGTAAAGGGCATCTGGGAATTCTTTGTGTTAATCTTACAACTCTTCTGTAAGTCAAAGTATATAAAAATTGTAAAAGTTAGTATATCCTTCATTTGCTCCTTCATGGGTCTATTTGACAAATAATTACTGAGCATGTATGATGGGCTAAGCACTGGGTTACGTGAGCAACACAGGCTATGCTCCCTGCCCTCCTGAAACTTAGAGTCATCATTTTGTGCTGTTTATTTCTAAAATTATTATTCTGGTTAAGAATTACTGAACATTGTTATAGAAAACTTGGAAAATAGAGAAGGGTAAAAAAGAAAGCAAGTCATGTCTTATCTTACCACTTGGAGAAACTACTCTTTAATGCTAATGTCTAATGTTCTATGTTTCTCCGTATCTCTTTTATAAAATGGAATCTATAGTGCTTTGTATCCAACTTTGCCCTCTTAGATTGTATTTTACATATTTTCTGTTATTCAATTTCAAAATACTAAATAGTAACAGTAGTTTTTCATATGAATGTGCCATGATTTATTTAACCAATTCCTTTGGTTAAAGAACCAATGTTCTTTGCTTTGCCTTTTTTTTTGTTGTTGTTATTAGTGAGGTCAACCTATTTTTATATTTTGTTAATAAACTATTTCTTTCATAAATTGCTGCCTTAGCTTTTTTCCATTCTCCTAATAGGTGATTGATATTAATCATTTACTTAATCCTATTTATCATGGATTTTGAACAGAGCTCTTGGTTTTTCCTGAAGCCATATAATTTACTGAACAGATATTGATATTGAAATGAAATTCTGACAGACATAAATGTACACAGTGGTCATTTGCTTTATGAATATCTCCTTATTTGTTTCAAACAAACATAACCAAAAATGCTCTTCATTAGCCTTTTAGAAGTTATTAAACTCTAAAAAACTTACTTTGTGGGAATCCATTTCTTTTTTTTTTTTTAGATTTTAATTATTCATTTGAGAGAGCATGAGCTGAGGGGCAGAGGGAGAGGGAGAAGCAGGCTCAATCCCAGAACCCTGAGACCATGACCTGAGCCAAAGGCGCTTAAATGACTGAGCCACCCAGGCGCCCTCAGAATACATTTCTTAGAAAATGACTTTTTTTTTTTTTTAAGATTTTATGTATTTATTTGACAGAGAGAGAGTGCCAGAGAGCACAAGCAGGGGGAGGGGAGAGGGAGAAGCAGGGTCCCCACTGAGCAAGGAGCTCAACGGGGGTGGGGGGGTGGGGGTGGGGGATCGCTCCCAGGACCCCTGGATCATGACCACCAACTGAGCCACCCAGGCGTCCCCCCTTAGAAAACTTTCTTGATGGATAATTTTCTTGGGGAAAAGCTGCCTTCTTGGAGATGTTTGTTATAGGTGCCCCTCCCCCACCCCGGGTGGATGGTGCTGAAGTGGGTGGGGGTGCACACACTCACCTGAGCTCCAGGTAGGAAGGGGTCTGTGAATTTGTAAACGCTTCCTACTTGTAAAAGAACTCCTGTGCTCTCATTTGAACTTCTTTGTAATGAATTATCCCATCATCTCTCCTCATTTTATATACTACTTTATAAATATCTTTTTAATTTACTCTTTTGTCCAGGGCTGCTTGTTTGCTTTTTTTCCCCAGTGAACAGATATTCATTACTTTCATAACAAAGAGCTCTTTTTAAAACCTATTTTATGGTGCTTGCCCACCTCATTTTGTTTCCTTTCCTTCCTTTAAGACTTGCGGATAGGCCCTATGTTGTACTCACCTGTGTATTCATGGCATGACGTAGGCTCGATACGTGTTCTTCAGATGAGTTTGCTTGCTGGCTTTCACAGGTGAGGCAGCTGAGGCTGCATGTTGGATGAGGTTGGACAGTTGACACAGCTTGTTAGTGACGACAGAACCCGGGCTGGAGCCATGGGTTTCTTGTTTCACACCTGAATTCCCAGTGTTCTCACCGTTTTCCCGTCGCCTCAGCCTGGTTCTGTGTGCCCGCGCCCTCCGAGAGGCTGGGCAACCCCGCAGTGCTCGCTCGCTCTCCGGCCGACCCACGGTGCTAGCCCCTGGCGTCATCGTGCCACAGCCTGCTGTTGACTCCCCTGCTTCTCCAGGCCGCGTTCTCTGTGGTCCGTTGGAGCCATCTTCCTAAGGCTCGTTAGACCTGTGCTTTAAACACTCAGCTGTTGTACATCTCCTACAAGGGGAAGTTTGAATTCCTTCCTCAGGTGGCCTGTGCGAACCTGCCTGCCTTCCCAGCCCCGCAGCTGGCTAAGCCGAGCTCCTAGCCCTTCCCTGAATGCCCTGCGCTTGCCTCCTGCCCTTGTGTGTGCTACCCTCTCAGTTGGGAAGGCCCGCAGCCCCTTTCTTTTTCTCTTGCCTATCCAGGTGCATCCCAGGCCAGCTTCCTTCATGCATTCCTTCCTCACTTCATCATCTGCTCTTTGCTGTTCTCCACGTATTCTGTGCCTCGTCAGAGCATTCATCACATAGCAGTACAAATGTTTATGCACACGTCTGCCCACGGTATTTGACTGTAGTCTCCTTGAGGGCAGCAACAGTGTCCACCTGCTGTCTTTTTCGCGCACACTTACTGAGCTCCTACTTTGCATCCCTCACTGTGGGGTGATAGGCGCCGGGGCTCTAGAGGTGAGTGGGATGTAGCTCTTGCCCTGAGGGGACTGCAGGTTTAGTAGGGGAGAAACAGGAGTGCATCAATTCTAATTCAGGGTGATACTTTACTCACTAGATGTGTAAGTTAGTCATAGATGGGGTGCACAGGGAATGAGCAGTTGGGAAACTGCCTGAGGGAAGATCAAGGAAGATCCTGAGCAGGGTGATAAAGAACTGGGGGACGTCCATTTTCCCCTCTATGTCCTTGGCGCCTCCTCTGCTGTTCCCTAGCACACGGTGGGTGTATAATATGTGAATTGAAGGGATGAAGGAGGGTGATGCCATTCAGGAAAAAGTGGCTCAACACTGAGCCCCAAGAATAGTTGAGATTGGAAAAGTGAGTCTTTCAGAAGTCTTTTAGAAGTGAAAAGAAACCCATTTTTCTCCCAAAGTCTTATGTGGGTTATAAAAAAGTCTCTCATTATAGGGTTAACCAGCCTCATCTAGGACAAGTGAACAGACAGAATGCTATGGTAGAAGATCCCACCAGATACAATCCCCTGCTGAAAAGTCTGTAAGATTTATTGCAACATCAATTAGTATGACTTGGTATTTTCACTTTCTAGACAATTCTTGCCCTTTCCTGGGAAGGACTCCCACTCCCTGCCTCCCCCCACCCCCCCCCCCCGCCCCATACCACACTTCCCTTAATGGGGACAAAGTTTCCTCTCTCCCCTACATCTCCCAGCTGACTGAGGTTGGCCCTAAAAAGGGAGGGCAAGTGGTCTGTGGTTTTCTGCTGTCTCCAAAAGCATAGACAGCAGTGGCTGACTGATTTATATTTGACCTTTCAGAGGAGCCATATGGAAGGCTGTGCAGGATGTGAGGCTCTTGAATAGTTTCTCTGCCCTTTGGGAAAATGTGTGCTCATTAGCTGCATTGCTGTAGCTTCAAGGCGGCGGAGGGTCCCCCACCAGGAGCTGCGGCGCTGTCTGCCGTGGGGCACGCGTCCAGCTCTGCCGGCTCCTCACTCAGCCTTCGCTCCATACGCAGGGTCCGGCTGTGCTCAGATGTTTTGGTCACAGCATTTGGGACAGGGAAGTAGGGTGAGAGTCCTGGGGAAGCTGTTTCTCTAAGCTTAGAAAGTAGCAAAAAAAAAAAAATCTTTCTCTACATGCATGCTAACTTTGTCTTGCACAAATTACAGTCTTTGACTTAGTTGAAACTTTGGGTTTTACTTACCCGGCTCAAATTAAAGGTGTTAAAACTGGTTACGACAGATTTTAACATACGCTTTTAAACATTGGCACCTAAACTCCTCTCTTAGGCAAGAAAAGAAAGACATGTTGAATTACATTTTTATTTTGTAAAAACAGGGTTTTTACCATTGTCATTTTTTGTCGATGGAGTCTGTGCAGTTGGCACTGATGGATTTTGACATTTGCTTCTATTCTTACCATTCTCTGCTATGACTCTTCACCGGAGATCTGGATTACTAACACTGCAGGTCTCCTCACCCCCCATCTTAGAAGTGGCCTGCTGCTTCTGTGCATGTCCTCAGTTGGACATCAGGGGGCCCCCATAACCCGAGCATGCCATCCCTGTGTCCCCTTTGGCCTCTGGCTCTGAACAGCTTGCTCACCTGCTCCTTCATATGCACTCTTGTGTTCTTTGCTCCTGGAATGTTGCCTCTGCCTAGATGGAAGCTCTGCTTCCTGAATGAAGCCTCAGCAGCCTGGAAGTGCAGGAGAAAATGGAATTAAACTTCTTCCTTAAGATTTCCAGTTAGGCCTGGGGGGAGGAGGGAGTAAAGTTTTCTACTGAAATCCTGCAATACTTACTCTGCACTAATTCATTTACATGTTCATTACATAGAAAAATTTAGTGACAAAAAGGAAATAAAGAACAACTCACCCATCATCCCAACATGATTTGTTTTCATTTTTCTCCATAGGACCCCAGTGGGGCACATAAACAAACACGTAAGATATATATAGTCTTATGCACTTATTTTTTTCATTTATTTTTCACTTTTATTGTGGGCATTTGAAGGGCCAAGATTATGTCTTCTGGTCCTTTTGTATCCCTCAATTGCCAAGCACAGTGCTAGGCACATGATAGGAACATAATAGCTAATTAACATTTTTAGAGTTTTGCAAGTTTTCTTTTTTTCATTTTTTAAATCTGTAGCCAGTGTTTTCCTCTTTATTAGATCCCAATTGGTTTTGTGTTCCTTTTCTCTTTTTCTGTTTTTCTATTCAACATTGAGCTTTTTGGATCATAACTGAGCTTCCTGTTTGTGGGCATACTGAATCAACCTGAGTGCTTTGTTAGCATACAGGTTTCAGGGTTTTCTCAAACCTTTCGTTTTCCCGCAGTACTTCCATTTAGAAGGGAAGAGTCACTGTGCCTCTTACAGCTGGGATCTGTATCTTACTTCCCTTTGATTCTCCTAGAACTGTGCCTGAAATGTAATATTTGCTCAGTGAGTATTTTTGTTAAATTGGAGCGCCTGGGTGGCTCAGTTGGTTAAGCCTCTGACTCTTGATTTTGACTCAAGTCATGATCTCAGGGACGTGAGATTAAGCCCTGCACTGGGATTTGTGCTGGGCGTGGATTCTCTCTCTCCCTTTGCCCCTCTCCCTGTTCACGCTCTCTCTCTCTATCTCTCAAAAAAAAAAAATTTTTTTTTTGTTGAACTAAATGTGTATTACTTTTATAACTACAGTTATAAAAATAGTTCCCTTAAATTAAGCTTTTGTTTGTTCATCCTCTCTTACAGTAAGTATTCTTTTCAGTGAACTTAGTCTACAGGACATTAACAATCTAGAACTTGGAACTTGTGGGATGGTTGTGTTTTGAATTGTGATCCCATAGGAGATATGGTTATCATTTGTCAAGAAATTGATATAGTTAAGTAAAATATTAGCTTGATTAAATTTTAGCTTGATTCCATGGATTGGGGATCCTTAAGACCCTCACGTGCAATGATTTTCCAGGAGGACTCCGTATATAATCATGCTCATGGCTGTGATTTGTTACAGCAAAAGATACAAAGCAAAACGACCAAAGGGAAACGATGCATGGGATGACATCCAGGAAAACTCAGGCACAAGCGACCCAGAATTTTCTCCCAGTGGAGTTGCATAGGACATGCTTAATTCTCTGGGCAGTGAGTTTTGTTCTCAATCGAGAAGTTTGTTAGAGAGCAGCACCCACACTTTTTGTTGGGGGCTGACCATGCGTAGATATACCCTTGTCTTGCACATACCCAAATTCCAGGCCCCAGGAGGAAAGCAGGTGTTCAACATAAAACATACTACTTCTACAAGCAGGGTGGTAGGCACAGTGAGCCACTCTTATCAGTTCTGAGAATGCTGGGAACCCTCCCAAGTCCAAGTTCACAGACCCCAGCCAAAGGCCAGTCTTGTAAGCAGGCCTTTCAAAGGCTAGCAGTAGGCCCACTCTGGTAGGTCTTTTCTGTATATACTGTATGTTCTTAGATCACTCTTAGGGATTAGACTTTTATAAATCAGATTTTATGTTATGTATTTTCTGTAATTTTAAAAATAACTTTTTACAAACTTCTTTTTCTGCTGTCTAAAGGGCCTGGAAGCCCGGAACAGCTCATTTTGTTTTCCACTGGTGCATTGGGGTCAGATGACTGGTGCCATATTGGTAACAGTGCTGAGTGTATAAGCTCTTTTCTGCAGAAAATTCCCTATAGAAGACCTTTCCTCAAAAGTATGGTGATGATACACTCAGATAAGCACAGACAAATCAGCTGCCCCTTTCCTTCCCCATCAGAAGGTGTAAGTGTTCACAGGAGGAGAGGGTGAGGCAGGACCTGTGGGCTTGTGTGAGGGGGGCCTGTGGAGCCTGGAACTGGTGGGTCAGTCCCATATCGTATCTGTGAAATCTCTTTCAGAGACTATGAGGGCTGTGTTAAAAATTGGTCTGACGGGAAATCATGGAAGCAGCTTTATAAATAACAGCTTCTCACCTCTGGTGTGAAGTAGCTTCTTTTTGCCACCTTCCTTCACTGGATCTGTCTAGATGTAGGCTGGGACAGGGGATGAGTGTCATCCTCATAGACCAAATAACGCCATCCTAAGTAAGGTGCGCTGAAGCCACACAGTAGGCATTAGATACAGATGAATGGGGGATTGTTTGCATTTCTGCATTTAACACCGATGACTTACACCTCAATGAACTGCCCATTTGTTCACCAATAAGTATAAATTCATCCTTTTTGTTTGCTTGTTTTATTTTTTGGCAAGTTGCCATGCTTGATGCTGGGGCGTAGTTTTAGCAGTGAATTAGACTTAAAACTTGCTCTTTCGGAGGAATGAAACACGGGGTAGACAGACGTAAGAGTTCTAAAAGAGGTTTATCAGCGAAGTTGCCATGGTAGTTCAGAAAAACACGGCGGAGGTTCATGTTTCACGGAGCACGTGAACAAAGGTGTTCACGTGATGCTTGCATGCTGGTAGTCATGCATTTAGTCTTGTAGTGTATATCATCTACTACATCCCAGCTCATGTATGAGGGGCTTGATAGAACAGTGAGCAAAAAAAGATATGTGGTTCTTGCCGAGTGGTCATCCAGTGCACTAAAGGGAAACAAAGAATTTAAGCCCTCTGCAGAAAACAAGGTGCAATGGGAGATGGTCATTTTTATTGTGTTTGTTTTTTTTTTTAATTTTTGCTTGAATTTCAGGTCATTCTTCAATATCCCTTATCAACACAGAAAATTATTTTGAATGCTTACTTTTCTCATTTATTATTAATAAAGCTTATTTCTGAATGCTTTCTCCCCTTCTCTGTAGCCTATATAAAAGGTGGGTGGATCCTTAGGAAAGCCTGGAAGATTTACAATAAATGCTATCTGGACATCAGTGCCCTTCAGGAACTGTATCAGAAGAAGCTAACTGAAGAGCCTTTGACTTCTGATGCTGCAAATGATAATCACATTGTGGCTGAAGGGGTGTCTGAGGAGTCTCTAAACAGACTGAAAGGTGCTGTTAGCTTTGGATATGGCCTTTTTCACCTTTGCATATCCATGGTGCCCCCCAACCTGCTCAAAATCATCAACCTGCTGGGTTTTCCTGGAGACCGCCTGCAAGGGCTTTCTTCACTGATGTATGCAAGCGAAAGTAAGGACATGAAGGCCCCTTTAGCTACGTGAGTAGCTGTATTGCAATGCTTTGGTAGATAATATAGTGTTGAAAGTAAGTAAACGACAATCAGAGCCTTTAAAGGAAACTTCAGGTAAATAGCTTGGTTGGTTGACGTGATGCCATGCATTATGTCTTTCAATGCAACCCCGAGAACTGCATTTTTGGTGGTATTTATAAACTGACTTTGGAGCTGACGTTAGAGAGCAGGACATCGTTCCTTACTCTCATGAGTCCTGTATTATTTTAAACTGGTAAAATGATCACCTTTTTCAACCTCAAATGATTTTATAAGCAGTTTTTGTGACCTTGACCACAGTCACTGAGATTCATGATCCTGATTTTTGGAATTTTTTAAGGAATAGGAATTCAGTAAGCCTTTTTGGTGATTTTAAAATTTTTATTCTTACAGAGAATCTTGATACTACGTAATTTCCTTTGATCCTGGTTGGTTCATTGGTCTCTCATATGTGACTTGGATATTTTGTGCTGGTCAACTAAATTGAGTCATGTTAATCTAAACTGAGTCATGTTAGAGTAAACTGAAATGACAGTTATTTAAACAGGAGTGTGGAGAAGCTGGTATAACTCTCCCATTCCTCCATCGGTTAAAAACGGTGTGATTTTTTTTTTTTTTCAGTCTGGTAAATATCTACCATTTGCAATTTGAGTAATTTTACCAGACAGTAGATGTCCTTTGACATTACACTACTTATCAGTTTTTCCAAAAAATGTTGATATCACAAAGAACTTTAGTAAGCTCTGTTTCTACTCCTATCAAGATTGAGGAATTTGGATATTCACTCTTAATCCGTTGGTAGCTATTAAAAATATCATTAAATTTTCATTTCAAAAATATCTGTGCCTCCCCAAAGTCATTAAATTACATAAACAGTGGTATTTTATTAATTTGATTTAATAGTTTTGTAACGTGATAATTTGTCTATTTATATCTTAGTATTTTCTGGAAAGAAATGAATTGGTAATGTAAATTAGTCTGATCTCCAGAAGAGAATGAATTTTATAGACATGCTAGAAGCATGCATTTACATAATAATATTTGATGTGTTGGTGAAACATTTTTGTCTATTCATTAAAGCAGATCCTAATGAATCTATTTTAGTTACCGAGTTTATTTAATAAATGGTATTTTTCTTGAAAGGATGAGTTTGAAGTAAGGGAATTTTAAGTAATTATTTGTTTTTCAAATTGAGCATCCTCAAAGGCCAGAGAAAGAGCCTTTTTTTTCTGGTTCTCTTACTTATTTTAACCCATTTTAGTATAATTTGTGTCTGTGGTTCCCATATTTAAATTTGAATTCTGAGGCTTACACTCTAACTTTGTGGACACAAGAGAAAACAGCATTTTCCTTTTGCAAAAAGGTAATGCTTTTATTATCAGGGGACAGTAAATTCATGGTAACCAGTTACTGTTTCTGATTGGTGCATTGATGAGTGAAGTTCAGAATTCAGAGATTTACATCAGTCCATACTTTCAAGAGCCATCTGGAAGTCTCGGAAAAGCTAAATGCTTTTATCATATTGTTCTCCTGTCACCTGATGGGAGTGTGCTGATTTATATGCTGTGCCAAAGTGTCAGTTTTCCAAATATTGATAAAATTAATATGGGGAAAGATACTCTGAATTTACTTCTTCAAAGACTGCGTAGTAAGCTTTTTGGAAAGAGTGTTCTGGAAGAGCACATACTGAGTTTTTAAAAAGTAGAACCACTATAAGAAAAGTCTTGCTCAACGTTTCTCTCCCTCTTCTTTAGATTGGCTCTGCTCTGGTATCATACTGTAGTCCGTCCGTTTTTTGCCTTGGATGGCAGTGATAACAAAGCAGGCCTGGATGAAGCGAAGGAAATTCTTCTCAAAAAAGAAGCTGCTTATCCAAATTCTTCCCTCTTCATGTTTTTCAAGGGACGCATACAACGATTAGAGGTACTGTGCCTTCCGCATGTTTTTAAATAAAGCCTTCTGTGGATCAGATCTGTAGTTCTCACTCCGGGTACTCCCGTCAAAATGAGCCCAAATGTCATTGGGCCAAGGAACATTTCGTTCTTGCGCTTTTCGCTGCACTGTTGCTACAAAAGCCTCTTCCAGGAACCCAGGATGTTAGTCAGTAACCTTCTGTTCGGGAGATGTGGGCGAGGAAGGGGTGAACTCTGTCCCGGGTAATGAGATTGGCATACTTGGAGCATTAGCACATGTCTTCATTGAAAAACACAAAATACGATCCTTTTCCTTTTCTGGAGTTACTAATAATCTGTTTCTAAATTTTCATCTTGGTTAACGATTTATGCATAAGTTACTGCGTGAAATAGCAAGGACCCCATCAGCTTTGAAACAGTAGTAGCTTTTGTTGCTTTTTCATGGGGTTCCTTTGGGCTAATCCCGTGCCAGGCACTTTATTCATGATATCCCATTTAATCCCCAGAGGAACCCTAGGACATAGATACAAAATGTCATCTGCGTTTTATAGAAAAAGGGATCCAGGAGGGTTTCAAGTGACTTCCCAGGCTCACCCAGTGAATGAGGCCAGGCTGTCTCACTCCAGAAGCAGAATACACCCTGGCCTTTGAAGGTCTCTGCTTTTTTATATCTGTTTTTTCCTTTCCTTTTCTTTTTTCTTTTCTTTTCTCTTTTCTTTTCTTTTGTCTTTTCTTCTCTCTTCTCTTCTTTTCTTTCTCTTCTCTTCTCTTCCTTTCGTCTGCTTGCTTGGGGGCATGAGGATTTGAAGAAAAATAAAAGTATAAGAAAAAAAAATCCTGCACATGAAAGCAGGTGGCTGTTATGCCCAGGTGCACCAGCAGCTTGCAGAGAATCATCGCAAGCTTTCTGCAACCTCTGTCCTCCAGGTAACCGGGTGCTCTGCAGCACAGTTGATTCTAGAAGTCAGCCTCCAAGAATCACCATGAGTGCATTTGAAGATTTTTGCCTAGGAATGCTTTTGTGAGCACAGGGATGATTTGTTCATTAATTTTTTTTGTTGGCAACAAAGTGTATATTACTTCTCGAATAATTCCTTTCCCTCATGAAGTGCCTCCTTAAATCCGAGGACTCCTCACCTTTACATATGGAAGTTGTATCTTAGAGACTCTACTGATGATTTATAATTGAAACATAGTACAGAAAGCTCACCAGGATCTGAATTACTTGCACCTATGTCTGAATTGTTTTTTTTCTCATTATTTTGAAACTGTTTTTCTTTGCAGTCAGGCCTGTGAGCCTTCAGTGCTGTTTCTCCCTTTTTTCCCCTCGCTGTCTTAGAAACATAGTTCTGATCATTTTCTTGTGCAGCCCAGTCTTTTTGTTAGCATTCTTTCCTTTTAAGCTCAGGGTTATGGTCTTCCATGTAGGGAAGGATGTTCAGTTTACTAAAGTTTCTCTGCTCCCTTGGGTTTGTGCAGGACAAAATCACACTGTATAAGGACATTTTAAACTGACTAAGCCTTCTCACTTCAGTGACCATTTTTGCATGGAAGTTTGGTTACAGGGTCAGTGCTTTCTTAAATGTCCATTTCTTTTTTTTTATAAAAAAGATTTATTTATTTTTAGAGAGCATGAGCCAGGGGGAGGGGTAGAGGGAGAGGGACAGAGAGAATCTCAAGCAGACTCCCCATTGAGCATGAGCCCAGTGCGGGGCTGGAACTCATGACCCCGAGATCATGCCCTGAGTTGAAACCAAGAGTTGGCCACTTAACCAACAGAGCCACCCAGGTGCCCCATTAAATGTCCATTTCTTAAAGGGCAGGCATTACACATTTTGAATAACTCTGAACATGATGAGACTAGGTTCAGTGTTAACAGATTTGCTGCCCGGGGTGAGAGCCAGAATTTACAGTTGTGTGCAGTAAGGCACCTTAGCATTGGGCATTTATTAGAATTCTCTCTCTTTACTCCCCCAGATCAACGAATGCTCTAAATTGGATTTTGAAGCTGTTAAATAGAAATGTAAAAGTAAGGGTTTATCTCTTGTTAAGCCTGCCATTTTCGTAAATTTTTAATTTTAAAACAAAAATGCTTAACTTTTAGCTAAACTGATGCCTTCTCACCCCCCCCCCCCCAAACAATTTGTGATGGTTTTAGTTTGTGCCACAGTTCATTCCTGTCAGGGATTGAGTGGATGTAAAAGTAAGTGGTTATTCACTGTTGTTGGGATGGTCCTAGAAATGAGGAAGCCGCAACCGTCAGAGGACCCTTCTAAATACAGTTTGGGGAGGTACATAGCTGGCATTATACAATTCTTGGCAGGCATTCGGGCTCTTTCAAGGGGGGAGAGTTGTGATCTGAGTGTGGGTGGTAGATGTTAGGACCACTTCACCGTGAAGCAGCTTGCTTGCCGAACTGGTGCTTGGTTTTCAAAAAAAAAAAGATCTGCTTCTGCTTCTAATTAGTGAGCTGTAGCCTCAGGTCCAAGGGAATGTGCCAGGTGGTTTCTGTTCGGCCCTTCCCCCCAGGCCCAGAAGATGAAAGGATTTGGGGCTAACTTGGAATATTACTGGGATTGTCCTCACAGTGCCCAGACAGCAGCATTTCATTTATCTTCCCAGGTGACCCCGAGGAAGCTGTCAGGGGTGGGGTTGGGAGTGGAGAAGGCTTTGTTTGAGGAGGGGGGACAGCCCAGAGAGGATGTCACCGCTCTTGTCAGAGGCTTTTGCTAAGGCCTGTGAAGTCCTAAACCTGGTTTCTAAAAACACAGGGCTCTGCTGACACATCTGCTTGCAGATAATTTTTTTTTAATTTTCAGTAAGCATTTAGGCTAGAGATAGGACCCCTGAGATCTTTTTATCAACAAACACTGAGAGAACACGGTCTGCAGGCTTTAACTTTGGCAGATGCGTCATATGATACGAAGTTTGTTCAGTGAGTCAATCTACAAAATAATTTGAACAGCTGCTTTTGTGTAAGCTTGCTGTCATGCAGGGTGACGAGCTCAATATGTGCTGCTTAGTTTTCATTTTCTGTATGTGTTATTTTCAAATCCTGTGCACTTGCCCGCTCTCGCTTTAATTTCATGAACAACTGTTTATATGCCCTGGGACAATTTGGAGTCCATCGGGGGGGTGGAGGGGGGTCTTTGACACACCACCCCGTCCTGACCTTTGATAACCCTCGCTGTCGTGGTTTCATGATTTCCTGCTGTTACGGCCTAACTTGACCTAGCAGTGGAGTTCCACCTTTGGTGGTACGTGGGGTGCGTCAGGCTGGGGTGCCCCCTATGCTCTTTGGGGCTGCTGAAGCGTGTAGCTCAGCCAGACTGCAGAAAGAATCTTCTCTTTTTACTGCCTTTGCTTCTCCCCACTGTATGTCTCTATGCTCCCACCTCCAGCCTTCTCCACCCTCCTGTGTTCTCACTACCTGTCCGGTCTTTGTTGACCTCTCCCATGTGACTTGTCATGCTGCTGGGAGGCACAGATGGGTTCCTACGGTACTTAGCATGGGATAAATGATATATAACTAGTGTGTGATGGGTATTATTATTATTCTTATATAAGCCTGGAAGTAGGGTTATCAAATTTCTTTTTTTTTTTTTTCCTTTTTAGGAGGGGAAAAAAAATTGTTTTGCTGTTGAAAGTGGTCGGTAAAACTGAGCCCATGATTGGCAAAGTGGGTGGCATGTAGCAAGAGGGACTATAGGTACTATAGGCACCTATATTTACTTTTCCCTGAAGTTGGTCCTAGATGTTATATAGTAATCTCAATTTTAAAATGTCAATTTATAGCTCTACTTTTGAATTTTTGTACTTTTCAGTAAATCTATGGTAGTGATAAGTCCATTAACGTACAAGTGATGAATGAGTATTTTTCTTGGTTATTTAAAAAGTATTGACACAAGTCTACATTTTAATTACTTGTTTTTATTTCTCTCTAGTCCTCTTTTTTCCCTTAAACAGTACAGATTTGCACAACTTCCCTCCCCTTTAGTTTTAACCATCTGCTTAGTATGTAATATATATATGTATGTATTTGATTTTATAAGTATACACTTTCATATACACATGCTACATGCTATATCGTGACTACTTAGTAATGAAACTAATTTTTAATATCTGAATAAATGAAAGTTGATAAACATTCTAATGAGGTTGTTAAGCATTTTGAGAATTCTTGTTTTGAAACTTCTAATCTGGGACTCCTACCTTTTGAATATCCCGAGTGCTGGCATTTAAAACCTTGGGTTTGGATTTGGGCAACAATAGTCATGGCCTTTCATAATAAGACTGGCCCTCAGTGTGTGTTTGTTGAATGAACAGATGAATCCATCGATCAATGAGAAATCCACTGATCAATGAGAGTGATGTCGTTTCTTAAGAAAAAGTTGATTATCGGGGCTCCTGGGTGGCTCAGTCATTCAGCATCTGCCTTCGGCTCAGGTCATGATCCCAGGGTCCTGGGATCGAGCCCCGTATTGGGCTCCCTGCGCCACGGGAAGCCTGCTTCTCCCTCTCCCACTCCCCCTGCTTGTGTTCCCTCTCTCACTTGCTCGCTCTCAAATAAATAAAATCTTAAAAAAAAAAAAAGTTGATTATCAAGGACTGTCTATCTCTCTTGTGTGGAACCTGTGCCTGTTTCTGAAACCAGTTCTGAAGAAAGGAGATGCTAAACTGTCTTCACAATTGGAATAAAGAGATTGTCCTGCTAAGGAGGGTACAGAACCAGGTATTTAGATGCTGTTGTGCTGGCTAGAGAAGTACGACTCTAAAGAAGTAAACTGAATAAAGGAGGTAAAAAGCGATTGGATTGAAATGGAGTCTCTGCTTATGGCAGCGAGTGCCCACATGAGCAGGCGTGAGCCCCGCTGCCCCCCACCCCATGCCCCCTCACCACCCACCCCCCCACCACTGCTCGGCCCGCGAGGCATTTGACTGTAACTGCCTCTCAGACCATTACAATCACAGTACTGCTTCGTGAGGACAAAAGGAAGTTTGTGCAAGGCC